GCTCAGGCTTCAGCTTCAGCCCCGAGTGGCGGAGCTCAGGGCAATGGGCTTCAGCCCCATGCAGTGGGGCTTTGGCTTTCTGCCCTGGGCCCCAGAAAGTCTAAGGCTGGCCCTGCTTGGTGGTCCCCCTAAAATCTGTTCACGGCCCCCCAGGGGACCCCAGAACCCTGGTTGAGAACCACTGCTCTAGCACATCCAACATTTGTCTCCTTGCGTCCCTTTCAAGGCCCTTCATGGCCTATCTCCCCCCCACATACGGCGTTTAAAAGAAACAAAACACCCCACCCAGCAAGAGTTGCGATACAGGGGAACAAACTAGCTACTGACACTCCCGTCCCCCCACCCTCCAAAGAAACTCCTGGGAATACCTAGTATAGCAGAGCCCATCCCCCACAGCCAACCACTGAGACAGCCCCGAGCCCCATCCTCCAGCTAGCACCCCCCCCCCAGGTGCAGAGCTATCCATCCCCCACAGCCAGCCACTGAGACAGCCCCAAGCCCCTGCCCCTGCCCCCCAGGAGCACCCAACCTGCTCAGATCCACAGCCGCACCCAGCAACCAGCCACGCTGCCCCTCAGAGTCCAGAAGCCTCTCGGCCCAGCTCCCCAGCAGAGGCGTTGACTCTGCCCAGACACGGTAGAGCCCCCCCACCCCCTCCACAGCTGTGCTGGCTGCAGGGAGACGGGCAGGACAGACAGGGGGGAGCCCGATCCAGCCCTTCGAGGGGATAACAAAAGCCACCAGGAGGAGAGCGGTACCTGATCCGGGGGCTTCGGCCGTGCTTCTCTCTGTGGCACCGTCAGGGGCGGGCGTCACAGGGGGAACGCCGTCGTCTGGTGAGATTCAGGGACTCAAACACACAAGATCCAGGGGCCTCCCAGCACCCCAGTGACCACCCCCCCAGCCACCCCCCAGCAACTCCCCTGGAATGCCTGCACAGAAGCCAGGAACAGCCCAAACCTGGTCCCACACCCGCAGCCCAACATGTCCCAGCAACCTTCACAATCTCCCCCTCCCCCTCATCCCGTGAGCAGCCCAGAGACTCACTGAATTCAACCGCCTGTGGCAAGGACACTCCGAATCCTGGGCCCATGCCATCCCTGCCCCTGGGACCCTTCTGCAGGCAGCTTTGGGCTCTTACCAGAACGCTCGCCCCAGCCCGAAGCCCTGACTAATGGGGCAGGACCCTGCATTGGGGCCAGGCAGGTAAAGTCAGCGCACTGACTGCTGTGCCCCATGTGTTCAGCACAAGCCTTTGTTAGGTTCGGCTTTGCCTGATTCCCTGCCGGGGACGCGGCCTCCTTTGGGACTGCGTGCCCCTAGGCCAGGGGTGGGCAATCTTTTTGGTCCGAGAGCCACATCTGGGTATGGAAATTGTGTGGTGGGCCATGAATGCTCATGAAATTGGGGGATGGGGAGCAGGGAGGGAGTGAGGGCTCCAGCTGGGGGTGCGGGCTCTGAGGTGGGGACAGAAATGAGGAGTTCAGGGTGCAGGAGGGGGCTCCGGACTGGGGCAGGGGGTTGGGGTGTGGGAGGGGATCAGGGGTGCAGACTCTGGGTGGCGCTTACCTCAAGCAGCTCTTGGAAGCAGCAGCATGTTCCCCCTCCAGCTCCTACGTGGAGCGCGGCCAGATGGCTCTGCGCACTGCCCCGTCTGCAGGCGCCGTCTCTGCAGCTTCCATTGGTCCTGTTTGCTGGCCAATGGGCGCTGCGGAGGCGGCGCTTGGGGTGGGGGCAGCGTGTGGAGCCCCCTGGCTGTCCCTATGTGTAGGAGCCAGAGGGGAGAACATGCCGCTGCTTCCGGGAGCTGTGTGGAGGAAGCCCCCGACCCCACTCCCTGGCAGGAGCTCGAGGGCCAGATTAAAACGTCTGAAGGGCTAGATGTAGCTCCCGGGCCATAATTTGCCCACCCCCTGTCCTAGGCACTGCCCACAGCACCTGGGTGACAGAGACAGGGGTCTGGCTCAGATCGGGGACCTGGGCCCAGCCTGGCTGGAAGAGTCATGCTGAACCGCGAAGAAAGCCCTGAACCCTGCAGCAAGTGGCACCTTCCTCCCGCATTCACAGCCCCAAGCCAAGTTCCACATCCTGCTACAGCCTGACAGAGATGCTCAGAGCCAGGCCGGAGCCAGAGGGCACTGCGATGGTAGGGCCTCCTCTCACTGAGCCGGGGACCTCTCCACCCAGCAGCCAGTGGGCCAGGAACTTGCCAGAGGCAATCTGTCCCTCTGAGCTGCGTCATCTGCCCCAAAGACAACAGAGACGCATTGCCTGGGCCCAGCCACCTCCCTCCCCCACCTCCAGGGCCTTTAACTTCTGGAAGCCCTAAAGGCCCAAGAATGGGTCAGTGGCTCTGAGCTGTTCCAGCCGAGCCTTGGCCCGTGGGTGCCTGCTGCACCAGGGTGCCAGCTCATCAGCACCATCCCAGGAGGGCCGGAAGCCCGGATGCCCAGCTGTGACGAAGTCGGACTGTTCTTAATGTTTCCTCTGAATACTGTGTGGGTGCCTCAGTTTCCCCTATGCAGTTCTTAAGTCTCTAGGTGGTGGGATAAAGGCCAGTGTGCATAAAAATGGCCAACACTCTGTCTCCTGGCAACTAATGGCCGGGGCCCTTCCCCCCTGCAAGGAGATAGCTAAGGTGAACAAAGAGATCAGGTGACCTCCTGGCCCGGGACAGAGACAAAGGCCAGAAAGGAGGGGCTGGAGGGGGTTTCAGTTTGGAGCTGGCGGGGGACTAGGAGTTAGAGCAGACGGGGGTGTCTGGCTCGCTGGGCCCCAGAATGGACCCGGCGGAGGGGTCCCGTT